CAGGTACCGACTGATACTCCCACCATTTGTGATAAAACACGTACAGAAGTTCTTGGCGCATTTTCCATTATTTGTTGGACATTTTCTTTTAATTCTTCAGTCCGCTTTTTAGGTCGGCCGCTTCCTTCTTTTCTTGTTACACTGCCCGTTTCACGAAAAACATTAACACAACGCTGAACTGCACTTTGAAAAATTTTGTACTCAACAACGCCGGGAAATTGATTTTGAAATTCTATGAAACATTCCTCAATAGAATACTTCCATATTCCATCAATCTTGCGTCCATTTCTAAAGTAGGACTCTATGATAAACACTTTTTGTTCTTGAGAAAACACCATTTTAAACGCTTTTTAAAACGAAAATATTCAAATTTATAGTGGCGATATAGCGCTTTGACAGATGACGTTTAAGTTCATTTCCTATACGCTACGCCCTACGTTCAAATTTTCAGAACCAACTTGACCACGTTTTTATTTGAACGCTCGTTACCAACAAGGATATTTATGTCTAAATGATCTATATAGTGGTACATAGTCATCAAAAATCTTATACAGCTTTTGGTAAAAACCCTGCACAGCTAGATTTGTATCATCAATTGCAATAAAAAAGACCAAAACTTTGTATTAATAATACAACTACCTCTTATTGCAATTTTATATACAGAATTAAAAACTTTGATGTGAACCAAGTGAAATCGTTACTAACCTTCATGTTCAACAACAAATTCTGACGGTCCACCACCACAAATTCCTAAAGGCCTAAGAATATCATCATCCGCTTGTACCCCTGAAAACCCAACGAGGGGTTGTTGTTAACGGGAAATACAAATGTCAAAAATTGAAATAAAAGATAACGGTCTATTCTTTTTACTGTATTCCTAATGTTCAAAAAAATTAATATATTGGGTATCCCAAAATTCACGCAAGTTTTAAATTTTGCGCCATTTATGCAGTAGTGTTGCCAACAAAAAAAAACAAAACGTGACAGCTGACAGCTCAGGGTTATTCAAAAATGGAGCGCTACACGAAAAAACGTGTTTTCATGTTGAGCGATATTTTAAAAATAATGCAGGTTTAGCAGATACAATTCATAATTTTCGTACAAAATATGGTCAGAATAGTAATTTAACTTCATCAACTGTGAAGAGATTAATTGAAAAATTCAGATTGATCCAGACTCTTAAACACTCCGTCCTTCAATAACTTGTTCAACACAACATATCGAAGCAGTTCGTGAGAATGTTGCTGGGAATCTACCTACTGACCACGTAGAGCGAAGAGAGTTCATTGAATGGATTATGGAACGAGTGGATTCTGATTTTTCGAACAAAATCATCTTCAGCGATGAAACAAATGCATCCGCGTGTCACTATTTGGTGAGGATTTTGGGATAATCACACCGTTCTTCTTGGAAAATGCGGCTCTTCAGGCCGTAACAGTTAATGGTGCTGACTATCAGCACAGGATGATCCAGTTTTTTGTGCCTAAATTACAAGATATGGATGTAAACGACGTATAGATTCAACAAGATGGTGCCACATGCCATACAGCCTGAGCAGCAATTCAATTACTGCATGAGTCATTTCTTGATCGTGTAATTTCCCATTTCGGTGGTCGCAATTGACCTCACAGATAATGCGATTTAACACCGCTGGACTTTTCTCTTTGGCGTTTTTTGAAGTCTATGGTTTAGAAATCTACGACCACCTAAGAATTGAAAGAAATTGAAAGTTGTATCAATGAAATTCAGCTGCATTTCTGCAAAATGGTCATGAAAAATTTCGACAGAAGAATGTGTATGTGCCAGCAAAGCACTGAAGGCCATTTACCCGATATGGTATTCCATACGTAACCCTATACTGTATTCTTTGTGAGTCAATAATCTTGCATGAATTTTGGGATACCCTTCATTACTTAAAAGAGTGAGCTTAAGGATATTAATTGATTAGATTACTGAAACAATTAAAAAAATAATCGTAACTTTACTTACCCCTAGCACTAAAGCATATTTTTTTCTTTTTTTTTTTCTAGAAAAAAAAACAAGAAAATAATTATAAAGATTTTGATTCAAGTTTAACAATAATATAAATGAAAAATTGAAGTAACAAAATCGTTAACGAGATGTACCGTAAATAAATTGGAAACTGCATGCATACTTTCTTCAATGATAAGTGTACAATCCAAACAGAAATTTGACGCCACTGAATATTTTGAAAATTTATGACTATTAGTACTCCAGTCGAATTAAATTGTTTATAATAAGAATAGAAGTTCTTATTTTTATAAATAGAAATCATTATTGCTTTGTATTTTTTTACCGTCCTTATCCCCTTGAAATTTTTAAAAGATACATGTTCTTCAATAAAGCAAAAAAATGAATAAGAAAAAATAAAATTTACTTACTTTTTGACAAATTAGACGATACACAAGAGGGAACAGCTGATTGTAGAGTAATATAGCCCATATCTCTATAACCTAAAATTTGTATTATATCATTAGAGTGTTTCTGAAATAAGTGCGTTCTTTGAAAAAGATGATAAAAGGGCACGAAAATGGGCAATTTTTATTACACAACTGATGTTCTAAATGCTTCTGTTTTCGAGAAAATTAAAAAAATAATCATAAATGTAAGCCGACCCTGTGCATCTTGTGCACGTGCGTTGTGTGCTGCAGTATAAGACTAACAGTACCGTGTGGCGTGTTCTGCAGAAAAATATGGGAAAAAGTTCTACGCACTCAACTATTTGAACCATACAGTGGTAATTTCTTCTCTATTCTTTTTCAAGTATGCTTAATCTTATTATAGCCCAGTCATTATAGACATGAAAGAGCCTGTTTCGGGAAAAAAATACTATTAGAAGTTTTTCTGCGGAATATTGTTCGGAAACCTGTTATAAATAAAATATCAAAAAATCAACTCCAGGCTAGTTGGGAAACTTTGTTTTAACAGTGGTCAAAGTTATGGAAAAGTGGTTTTTTGACTCACGTAAAAAAGCTATTATTCATAACGAAAAAAAGTTTATACAAAAAAGGTAGGTATTAAATAAGACTATAAAATGAAAAAAGTCCGAATAAATTCCGATAATTTGTTTATGCACAAGAGCTCAAAAATGGTCGAAAATTGCCGTTTTTTTCAATTGCTAATAATTAATGCAATTTTTATCGCAGACACTTGTAATTCAGGATTTTTGAGGCTTTTTACACCCTTAATAAGTGGTAAAAATTTCAGCTCGAAAGCTTCATTGGTTTGGCGTTGGCGGAATTTGTTATCTAAGAAGATGCTATTTTCAATTCATTTTTCCCAAGCTCACAGGCGTTGTAGGGTTTTGATCATTAGTTGTTTTTGTACCTAAATAGTTGTATTGACATAGACATTTACCGAGAATTTAGTTTTTCAAATTTAATTTGTTTAAAATTGACTTTGAAAAAATGTTAATATTTATTAAATTGTTAAGATAGGTAATTATTATAAAATAAAATAGTAACCTCTTTACTTTAGTTTTCTTCGAATTAAAAAAAAAAAATCGTAAGTTGATTAGAAGCTGAGATAATTTTTTTTATTTATTTAATCACAGCGACCTTAATTATTAATATTAAGAGCCGAAATTTGGAGAGAATATACATTAAGAGCTATATTTTCATGTCCTACATTAACATTAAGGTGAATTCAACTATTTAATTTCGAAGAAGAAGACTTGGTCTAGCGAACGAGTGGGGAAGGCGAGGCTTATATTTTTTAATTTTGAAACTCCTAACCTTTATTCTTAAATATCTAACCTCAAATCCAAGAAATCTGAACCAGAAAGTCAAAGGAAGGATATTTTTCAAAGCAAACAATGTGACTTCTTGAAAAGCTTATTCTGGGGCTAATATTTCTGAAGCCTCAAACCTATGCTATGTCCATAAAAACCTAACCTCAAACCCTTGAAACTTATCAAATCCACAAAAAATAAACGGATATTTAGATAGATAAAATTTCATTCGATAAATTATAAAAATTTCAACAATTTCAGCTAAAAACTCAGACACAAAATCTATATTATTTACCTAAATTATTCGAGCCATTTCGTTATCTTTATTTATATAAAACGTGTTCTTTTACCGTGTCAAGGTAGCAGTCTTTAAAAGGGTTGTTTTTCTGTACTTTTTATTCTTTTGTTTTTTCTTTTTGTATATTTGTATTTGTTTTTTTCTACTTCTAGTTTTTACTCAATGTTACAAAAATTTTCATTTTATTTTTAAATACTGAATCTTTGGTGTTGATTCTGATGGGTTATCACTCGATTTAAAAAAATACAGATATGTATATGAAATTATCGCACCAGGATCATAAAATTAAGCATATTTCAAAGAGAGTAAAAAAGAAATTACCACAACATTCACTATTGGTATGATGCAAATCCTCACGTTGTACAATATCTCAGTTCTAGCAACGGTTTTCAACACAGTGGTGTTTTTGGTGGCAGAATTTTGACCTTCATCTGGAAGCATGTTTATTAACACATGGAAACAACTTTGAACAATTTTTGTAGAGCATATCGTCTATTGGTAAGTAATTCGTTGATTCGTTTAATTTTTGTTACTTTTAAACCAGATTTGAATAAATTTCAGCATTTTCGAACACAAAATTTAAACTTGATTGACCAACTGATTTGTTTAAACCTTCATGTGAATTTTTTTTTTTTTCAATTTAAAACGTAATATTTTAGATCGCCAGTTGCTTATTTTCCTGCCCTTTTCAAGGAACGCACTTATATCAGAAACACCCTGTAAACAAATATTTTAACTAGCTCTTACTCTTAATACAAAAATTTCAAACTACAATTTTAAGAATTAAATGAATAAGAGCGCCATCTACGCTCCTTTATCTTAAGCTTAGTTGTTTAGTATACAGGGTTTTCAAAAAGTTTGAAACCCCCCCTCTATCTCAGAAAATACTGCTCAAACAAAAAAATGATTAGGACACAAGTTGCAGGGTTTTGAGTAAGCAATCCGACGGTGACTTTGACCATGACCTTGACGGTCATTTAGAGGTCAAGTTGAAAATTTTAAATGGACCCCGGAAATGGTAAGAGCGGAAAATTTTACGTTCAAATGTGACTTTGTCCATGACCTTCAAGGTCATTTAGAGGTCAACCTGAAAATTTTAAATGGAATCGTATATTTTTGATACCGGAAATGTTAAAAATGGAAATATTTACATTCGAATACGACCTTGACCATGACCTTCAAGGTCATATAGAGGTTAAGTTGAAAATTTTAAATGGAACCGTATACTTTTGATTCTGGAAATGAAGAGCGAAAAATTTTACGTTCGGATATGACCTTGACCATGACCTTGAGGTCATGGTAGTTTCAAGGTCACAGTATTTCCAACAGCCTGTCTCCGAAGGTACTCGGGGTTTTCGGGGTCACCCTTTCGATTATTGGAGACAAATTTAAGAGTTCCCGTTTTAAAAACCATTCTGATCTTAAACTTATGTTGAAAGTTATCGCTATTTTTACTTTCGGAACAAGGTCGAGGTCATAACAATATCACTACCGGATAGCTAAGAAAACTTTTGCCGTTAAATTTTTTTCGTAAGAGCATTATTAAACATAAGTTCTTTGCTTACGTTTGACATTACAGTTACCTTTAGGTCATGGTCAAAGACATGGTACAGGTCATTTTTTAATTTTACACTCACTCAATTTTCGTAGTCAAATGGTATCGGGTCATTTATTAAAAATCGACTTGACCTGTAAACGACCTTGAAGGTCATAGTCAAGGTCATATCCGAACGTAAGAATTTCCATTTTTTCCTTTTCCGGGATCAAAAATATACGTTTCTATTTAAAATCAGGTGGACCTCTAACTGACCTTGAAGGTCATGCTCAAGGTCACATTCGAGCGTAAAATTTTCCGCTCTTACCATTTCCGGGGTCAAAAGTATACGGTTCCATTTAAAATTTTCAACTTGACCTTTAAATAACCTTCAAGGGCATGGTCAAGGTCACCGTTAGATTGCTCACTCAAAACCCTGCAACTTTTGTCTTAATAATTTTTTTTGTTTGAGCAGGATTTTCTTAGAGGGGGGTTCCAAACTTTTTGAAAACCCTGTATGTAAAAAGAACTAATGCCATTTTTCTCAAGAATTGTTTTCTGTACGAATTTTCTCTAGATATATTTTTCTTAAATACAATCTTTTCAATGTTGCTGCCCGTTTAAAAAAATACGACCACTGGAAAATTTTTGAGTGCTAAAAGGGGGACGTAACCAGAGAAAACTACCACCCAGTATAGAGATTTGACTAAAGCTTTAAGAAATAATATGCCATAATAGTCCAAATAAATGTACCAAATTTTAACGCGATCGGTAAAAGGGTTATGAAGTTATTAATTAAATTAGTTTTATTTTTGACAACTTTGAAGGCCTGTAAATAGAAAAAACAAAAAATTTTTATTTAACTTTTTTTTCATTTATCGTCGCGAATATGTAATCAAATGTTGTCGATGAAATTTGCGGAGACACTGTATATACAGGCTCTCTCCTAAAAAATGCCGCATGCTAAAACTCCGTCATTTACAGTCTGATTTTAAAAAACAAAAAATTATACGAAATGGCTAAATACAATATAGAGTGGGCGTATTTATTATTATTTTTTTTTGAAAGGCGATAGTCAACTTTTTTTTTTCAAATGGCAATAGTTTTTTTTTATTTATTATTGTGCAGAATTCTATTCTGAATTCAACGATGTATATAAATTCTACTTTTGTGAAACATGTATTACAGAAAAAGCACGAAAATATTAGTCAATACCGTATTATTAGCGCCCGGTCGCTTAATTGACAACAATCATATTTTGACTAGTCATGTATGCCTGGAAAACAAAAAATAATACAACAAAGCAAGTAAATGTCATTTTACTGTTCGTGTCCCAGATTTTTACGCATCATACTCTTTCTATGTCATTTCCAGTAGGTTTTTATTGAAATAAGCTCAACAGTGCAAAATATCAGTATTAATTAATTGACGGACATGATTCAGGTATTCTTTTAAGAAACCAAAGTGAGAAGAACGCCAATTTAATTAAAACACCGAGTTCAATGTTCTTCGTAACGTTGAAGAAAACCCAAGACCTTAAATTTAAGTACAAAATTTTCTTTTGAGTTTTATTTGCTTTGTTGTATTATTTTTTGTTTTCCATAGCACACATAGTTAAAATACATTTGTCATGAATTTAGTGGCACAATAATAAATAACACAAAATCTATATTGCCATTTCAAAAAAAAAGTTGACTATTGCCTTTCAAAAAAAAAATATATTAAATGTATTTAGAGCCATTTCATTAAATTTTTTGTTTTTTAAAATCAGACTATAAATAACGGGGTTATGGCTTGCGGCGTTTTTTAGGAGACAGCCTGTATGTTATAAAACTGCATTAAAAAGACAGGTTATTTTTTTCTAAAATACTTACACATTAGATTTTTTGAATATTTTATAGAAGCAATTTGAAATCCTCTGCGGCAACCTTATTTTCATAACAAGCAGAACCTTCGAGCATATACTACTGGAGGGTAGCCTCCCAATGGCTACGCACGTTACAAGGCAAAGAGAAAAAAAGCTCAAACAGGCGTAAACTGATATAAAAATGGGACACTGAGCATTTGTATTTGAGAAAAAGTAACCTTTAACCATCCAAACTATTATTATTTTGTCTAGGTTGATTAATAAGAACCAAACCGTCATTATTGACGTGTTGAGTGTTTTTTATATAGTTCGTACTACAAAAAGAAACATTTAGAAAATATGAAAAATGTGATTGTCATTGTTTTAAAGAATAAATTTCATGCCGATTAACAAAACCACAATGCGTGGGTGGACTTTGTGTCTACCACACTTACCAAGATCCGCGACACGATTCTCTAGGACAGGAGCTGTTTCCTTAGGCTTCACCACTACCAGCGACGTTACGTCTGTCACAAAAGAGTATTTTAGTGCCAAATTAACGGCCCTTTTGGTTAACTCTTCTGGATTTGCTGCGGAATCCCTCTCGTCCAACAATTGTTTCACTGTGAGGTAGGCCCATAGCCTTTCTAGGGAAGTTACGGGTCTTTCCGTGGCCGATCTTATTATTATAGGACCGCGTGGGCCCCTACAGTCGATGGCAGTCGGGAATATTTGTTCTAAAAAACAGGAGCGCCTTTTTGTTAATATCGAGGTCAGCAAAGCTATGAAATACGAATGTTGCATGTACAAAAGGGGATTAAACATTTATTTTATATATAAATGATTTAACTGGTGTAATAAATTGTGATAAAACTCTCAAACATTATTAAATCGCGTAGGTACCTTCACATCTTCCGGCAACGACCAACTCGGAGCCCCTAAAGTAAATGGGGAACCAGGTCCTAGTGACTTCTGCCACTTCCGCGTCATACTTGAACTTGATGTCGTGCAAGAGCGGGGAAGAAATCTGCTTGTAGAAGTCCTGCAGCTGCAAAGAGGCGTCGGCGGCTTCGTATATGTGCCTCGAGAAACCCAGGTTCTTTGAAGACAGCTTCCTCAGAAAGTCTTTGTCTGCACCATCTCCAAAAGACAGGGAGAATATAGGAACCTTGTCTTTCGTGTTCAGATGAGTCACCTACGAATTTGGCAAGTGACATTAATTTGCCGTCGAATATAAATCAAAATGACTTACTAGTTCAACGATTTCGTCTGTTGAGGGGATACCAACGTTGGGTTCACCGTCGGTCAGAAATACTATGATGGGTTGAAGCTTCTGATCCTTGTCCTTGTTTTTCTGTTGTCCTGTTTTTACTAAATACAAAGCCGTTTCTAAACCGCCGATCATGAAGGTACATCCAATAGCCATAATACCCTGAACGACCTCTTTTGCTTTTTTTATAATATCCTCACTAACAAGGTGTGGATCTGATGATATACATTGCTGAAATCGGAATTTATGTATTTATTTATTTAAATCCCACTACACAAATTGATAAATCAAATGTACAGGGTGTTTCAAAAAGGTGTTGCCAAACGAACACAGATGATAAAGTAATTTTGAGCAAAAAAGTAAAAAAGTGAAATTTTATACAGATGTACCATTTATTACGAGGAATTACTTTATCTAAACCAAATTGACACATTGTTTTCAGGGGCGTTCCTACAGGGGGGCAAGCAAAAGTTCGAATCCGTAACTTTTTTATTTGTCAACGTAATTTTTTCGAAAAAAAAAAGATATACAGGGTGTCCCGAAATTCATGTCACAGATTCTTAGGACAAATTGAGGGGACCCGTATTTTTTATTTTTGCCAAGTGGCCCCCTCTTTCGGAGTTACAGCTCCCTGAAGTCCACCCCTAAGAATAATCTTTTTTTTATATCTCAGAATCCTGTTGTATGAGAATCACTAAATTTGGTACACAGGGGTTTTATGACATGTGGAATTTCACAGTGCTACGTTTTTTGGCGAGAAACCCCCTTAAGACACCTTTTCGTGGACCACCTTGTCTTTGGAGCCAAAAAAATTTGGTCACATATTTAAATTTCTTAAAAATTATCAGTCCACTAGAAAGCCATTAAATTTAGAAACTTTTTGTCACTTTGTACTTTTTTCGTAAGAGGCAATGTTTTCGAGAAAAATGTCAAAATGTGATCGAATGCATATCGTGATTCGCCATTTTCCTCAAAAACATTGCATTTTACGAAACAAATATCAAGAGACAAAGAAGTTTCTAAATTCAATGGCTTTTTAGCTAACTAATAATTTTAAAAAAGGGGGTTTCTCGCCAAAAAGCGTAGCACTGTGAGTCTCCACATGTCATAACCCCCCCCCCCTGTACCAAATTTAGTGATTCTCGTACAATATGGTTTTGAGATATAAAAAAAACTTCTTAAGGGTGGATTTCAGAGGGCTGTAACTCCAAAGAGGGGGCCAGTTGGCAAACAGAAAAAATATGGGACCCTTAAATTTGTCTTAAGAATCTATGACCAAATTTTGTTGCATGAATTTCGGGACACCCTGTACCTGTTTCATTACAATATCTGCAACGGTTTTCAAGAAAATGTCGATTTTAACTTCTTATACTTCTACTGAAAATTAAAAATAATAAAGAATCTAGAGTTCTATTTTCCTTACATGAAAAAAACAAAGTGAAATAGCAAAACATTTCAATTAATTTTTTGTAAAAAGTATAGGTGTGACAACAAATAATATGAATCGATCAATTGTGGTCATCACAAAATTATTTTAAATTAAATTGTTATTTTAATACTTTAATACTTTTTAAAAACTAAGTTATACTCAGCTGAGAAATATAACATTTTCTTTAGAAAATAAAGCTATTCAGGATGAAATTTTGTCACGCCAAATTTTTAAAAGATACTTTTGACACAATGTCAATGTAGTTTTGCATTACATTAATACTTCTGTAGAAACAGGTAAATTTCCAGAGATATTTAAAATTAGTACTGTTATTCCTAAAATTCAGAACACTATAGAGGCATGTCATTTTCGTCCTGTCAATATTCCAGTATACACTTTTCCCAAAGTTGGTAAACTTTGGAAAAAGTGTTAGAATTGGCTGTATACGATCAAGTAATGGAATATTGTAATGAAAATAATTTATTTAAAGGTAATCAATCAAGTTTTAAAAACATCACTCCTGAGAAACCGCTTTACAGTATACATTAACAAATTGGAAAATGTTATTAGATGAAGATAAGTACATCGTAGCAGTTTTTTTGGATTTAAAAAGGGCATTTGAGACTATAGATAGAAAAGTTCTTTTGAGAAAATCGCAGTGTTATGGTATGACTCGTACTGTTTTCAAATGGTTTGATGATTCTTTAAGTAGAAGAAAACAAGTAACTAGAATTGGTTCATCCATTTCAAATGCAATAATCAACGAATTTGGGGTGCCTCAAAGCAGTGTTTTGGGATCACTTTTTTTATACTTTATTTTAACGATATTTATTATGTGGTACAAAATAACGCTATGCCGATGACACCTTAACATATGTATTGCATCAAAATTTAAATCAAGCAATTTTTTTGATAAATACAGTTTTGGATAAAATTGAAAATTATCTGGAAATAAATAAACTTAAAAAAATAAAAGCTAAGGTTTTAACAACTAGTTATAAGCATAACCACATAAATATTGATCAAGTAGTCATAAAAATGGAAGGTGAAAATATAGAAATTGTGGATGCATTTAAATATTTAGGATTCATTATAGATAACAGCTTTTAATAATCATGCAGAATATATAATCAAAAAAATCTCGAAGAAGTTGTATTTTTTCTCTTGCATAGCAAATACTTAAACTATTAATGTTTAGTAAAATTATTTGTTACAATAGTATAATTCAGTCTCATTTTGATTATTGTGCCACAATGACGTATATGTAAAAAACTTGGGAATCCATGGGAATCTTACTACATTGTAATCGATATACACCTATTTGTAATATGTTAGATACTTTACACTGGTTAACAGTAACACAACGATTGTACGATTTAAGCATGGTTTTTATTTATAAAATAGTTACTGGTTTTCAACCTTTATATTTAAACAAATTTTTGATAAGGAGTAAACAAATTCATGAACACTCAACAAGATCGAGAAATCAATTTAATATAAAACTGGTTCAAGAAAATGTTGGAATTCCTTATTTTTTAAAGGATTGGATAGCTTTAACAAGCTGCCAAATCTTTAAGATATCTATAATAGAGTATATTAGAACGGTTTCTAATTAAATTTAATGTTAAGGTTGTTTGTAGTGACGAGTTGGATAATTATTATATTAGTTGTTATAGAAGTAAGAAATTAGGATATGTCGCCTAACAGACTTGACATGCTGCTTTCCTTTTGTGATGTATTTTGTATTTCATTGTTGTGTATTTTAAGCACGGCATATTTTGAAATAAAGACGGTTAAATTAGAAACTTTGGTAAAAAATCAATGGCAAGAAACATGCAAACTGCATATTTACTATGTGCCATGTACATATATGTTAAATGTTGTAGTTGTTACTCCAAATAAAAATTTATTTTATTCACTTTTATTATTTAAACTTCTTCAAATTAAATCATAATTTCGTAATTAATATTATTAATTTTTTACTATGTATAAGCTGGTAAAGAGTAGACGAAAATTGAAAATTGTTACAAAAATATTCATTTTTCACTTGATTCTTGTATTTCAGAGAAAATATTCTAAGGAAATATAAGTATTTGGTATCATCTTGAAGCTTATGACATGTGTTGTATAGTAAATCTGTTACATTTTATTTTCTATGGCCAGATGGTTGTCTGAACATTTGTCCAATTTTAAAATGTCCGGACATTTCCCACCACTAGTTTTTTGCATTGACGAAAAATGGATACACTATGACAATTCTAAGCGTAGAAAATCCTGGGGGTTGCCTGGTCTGATCATGTATCGACATCGATGGCAATGTTCATGATTCAAAGTTTACGCTCCGTATTTGGTGGGACCAGCTTGGTGTTGTGTATTACAAGCTGCCAAATGAAACCATCACTGGTGAACGCTACCGAATACAATTGATGCATTTGAGCCGTGCATTAAATGAAAAATTGCTGCAATTCATACAAAGGCACGATAAAGTAATTTTTCAACATTAAAAATTCGATCGATTGAGGGATAGCATCAAAAGATGAGTTGTTCTTTTGACGAGGAATTCGTATGCTGCCAAAAAGATGGTAAAAAAGTAGTGGCTAGCTATGGATAATACTTTGAAAAATAATAACGCACACGATTTTTTATGATAAAGCCTTGAATTTACTAAAACATCCCCCGAAAATAATTCACAGTCCTTGTAATTTTGTATTAATTGCGCACCATCTAAACAATAATTGTTGAGAGAATTTTTAAATCATTTGCAAAAATTAGAAATGTGAAATTATGTCTTAAAATGACAATATCATTTATGGAAATAGAAACGTCAACACATTAAATGCTAACAAGGCACTTACTTGTAAGTAGGCAAAAGGCTCCTTGAAATCCTTTATATTACTCGCAGGCACAGTGGTTGATTCTTTTGAGTCGACATCCCACACGATAACGTCAGTGTTAAACTCGATAATACTCAGCATGTCTTCTTTACGTAAATCGCCCAAAATATTCATGATAGCGTCTTTCAGCTGATCAATTTTCCTTCCCCTCATACTCGTGCTGGTGTCCAACACGAAAACGAGGTGCTTCGGTAACGGGTCTAGGTCGTTCGGGGCAAAGAAGTGAACGAAATAGCCATCTTGTAGCAACACCTGAAAGCAACCACAAAATTTTCGATTTAAGGCACAGATTTCGATCATACTTCTCCGTTGAGGGGTTCTCTTTCTACTTCGTACTGCACGACGAACTGACCTGACAAGCCATCGCTTGTTTTATTTCCCAGATAATGAGTCATTTTTCTTTGCCTCGTGGTATTAGGATGGAACTTGATGGTAGCGGTTTTTGGATTTATTACTTTAACATCCGACAAAGGGTCAAGGTATTGAACGAATTCCGACGTATTCATGTCGTTTCCTGATCTCAAAGGTGGCGTTTTTACAAATTTTAGAGGTCGACTCTCATTAATGCGGACCTAGGAAATGCATTCCTGATTACGTACAAATAAAAGATAACTTGAATTATTTAGTTTGGTACCTCAATATTTAAGTCATCCACAATTTGCCCCGGGCAAATATTCAACACCAGTTCATATTGATCGTGGACCCGCTGAAGCATTTCTTCGTAGGTTAAAGAAAATACCCCCACCGAATCAGGCTCCAGATTTACCGACACTGTAAATTCCCTCGAATCTCTCGTCTTTGCTTCGATGAGCCCCGCACTCTGCCCTTGTGCCACTGCCTGCAATTTTTTTCCTGTGTTAAAAAATAGTACGAAGCTAAACATGCAACATGAATTATAACAACAAAGTTTTTAGTAATTATCCAGACATTGCTAAAGCTTTTGGCAAATTTTTTGCTTCTGTTTATTAGCCATCTAATAAGCCAGTAATTACTGATGACCATGTATGTTTTAACAATGCTATTAATATTACCTCTATTGACATTAATGACATAACAGATAAGATTAATAACTTAGATATTAATAAGGGTGCTGGGTGTGACAATATTCCTCCCATTTTTATCAAATCGTATTGTAATCATATTAAGTTACCACTTTTTTTAATATTTCATAAATCTATTACTGAATGTTGTTTCCCTGAAAAGTGGACGATTGCTAAAGTTACACCTATTTTTAAATCTGGCAATAAATATGAAGTAAATAATTATAGATCAATTTCTATTTTATGCACTTTTAGTAAAATCTTGGAATCAATTATTACGGATAATTTTTTTTTTTCAAATAAAATATTTATTAAACGAAAACCAGCATGGAATTTTTAGTCGTAGATCTACTGTGACTAACCTTGTTCCTTATGTACAATTCATCTCTGATAGTATGGATAAAAATGTTCAGGTGGATGCTGTATACACGGACTTTTCGAAAGCTTTCGATAAGGTTCACCATGATACTCTTTTTAATAAGCTTCGATGTGTTGGTGTGTTTGGCAACCTTCTGGCATGGATTAAATCGTATTTAACCAATCGTTCACAGTACGTTGTTATTATGAATTGTAGCTCTGATATTAGCAAAGTTACGTCGGGTGTTCCTCAAGGTAGTCATATAGGTCCTTTACTGTTTTCTATATATATAAATAATATATCTAACTGCTTTAAGCACTGTCATTTCTCAATGTATGCTGATGACCTTAAGATGTTCAAACAAATTTCAAGTGATACTGATGTTGTTGAATTTCAGGAAGATATTCATAGACTGTATCATTTTTGTAAGTCTAATTACTTATTTATTAATGATAAGAAATGTAGTCATATCTCTTTCACTAGAAATAGG